GTGAACGTTGGAGTCTGCAGCAAGCAAGCCTCCCTGCTCGCTTCAGTGCCTGGCTGCCGGCCGCCATCTTGGCTGACAGTTAATTTGCATATACTCACTGATTAGCCAATGAAAAGGGTAGCGGTCGTACGCCAATTACCATGTTTCTCTTTTATTAGTGTAGATAAGTGAGGTCATGCTGTATTTGTCTTTCTGTGTCTGGCTTATTTCACTTAGCATAATGTTCCTCAGTTTCATCCATTTTGTCACAAATGATAGGAATTCCTTTTTTATAAAGTCTGAATAATATTCCATTGTACATATTTACCATATTTCTTTATCAATTAGTTGTCCAAAGATGTACATGTAGGTTGCTTCCATGTCCATTGTGAAAAATGCTAAAATGAACATGAGAATGCAGGTATCTCTTTGATCTCTTCCATTTTCTTTGGCTATAAACCCAGGAGGAGGACTGCTGGGTCATATGGTAGCTCTATTTTTAATTTTTTAAGGAACCTCCATACTATTTTCCATAGTGACTTAACCAATTCACATTTCCACCAACAGTGCACAAGCGTTCCCTTATCTCCTCATCCTTGCCAACATTGTTAACTTTATGATAATGGCCATTCTAACAGGTGTGAACTGACATCTCATTGTGGTTTTGATTTGCATTTCCCTGATGATCAGTGACATTGAGCCATTTATATGCCTTTGGAAAAAATGTCTATTCATATCCTTTGCCCATTCTAAATCTGATTATTTGTTTTATCAGCTATTGAGTTGAATGAGTTCTTTAAAGATTTTGAATATTAACTCCTTGTCCAGTATATGTCTTGAAACTATTTCTTCCAATTTATAGGTTGCCTTTTAATTTTATTTCTTTTGCTGTGCAGAAACTTTTAAATTTAATATAGTCCCATTTGTTGATTTTTGTTTTTGTTGCCTTCGCAATTGGTTTTATGGTTTCAGGTCTTATTTTAAGACCTTAATCCATTTCAAGTTAAATTTCATGAGAGGTGTAGAATAGGGGTCCAATTTCATTCTTCTGCATGTGAATGTTCAGTTTATCCAACACCAAATATTTTTAAAATGTATCTTTATTGTTGAAAATATTACAGATGTCCCTTTTATTTCCCCATTGATGCCCCTCCTCCCCACTCCTGTCCCTTCCAAAAACTATCCTTTCCTCTTTAAGTATTCTTGGCTCCCTTATAAAATACACATTGACCACATATGTGCATGGGTTTATTTCTGGGCTCTCAATTCTTTTTCAGTAAATGTCTGTTTTTATTTCAGTACCTTACTGTTTTGATTAGTATAGCTTTGTAATATAATTAAAATTAGAATGTGTGATGTCTCCAGATTTGTTCTCTCTCAAGATTGCTTAGGCTATTCATGGTCTTAAATATGTTAGGATTGTTTTTTATTCTTTTGGATTGCATTGAGTCTATAGATGGCTTTGGGTAGTATGAACATTTGAATAATATTATCTCTTCTATTCCATGAAT